AGTTTGAACCACATCATCAAGTTCGCCGATGACACGACCATGGTGGGTCTCATCAGCAAGAACGACGAGTCAGCATACAGAGAGGAGGTGCAGCGGCTAACGGACTGGTGCAGAGTCAACAACCTGTCTCTGAATGTTGACAAAACAAAAGAGATGGTTGTTGACTTTAGGAGAGCACTAGGCGAACACACTCCGCTGAACATCGACGGCTCATCTGTGGAGATCGTTAAGAGCACCAAATTCCTTGGTGTTCACCTGGCGGAGAACCTCACCTGGTCCCTTAACACCAAGTCCATTACCAAAAAAGCCCAGCAGCGCCTATACTTCCTTCGAAGGATGAGGAAAGCACATCTTCCATCCCCCATACTCACTTTGTTCTATAGAGGGACTATTGAGAGCATCCTGAGCAGCTGTATCACTGCCTGGTTTGGGTCTTGCACCGGTTCGGACCACAAAGCCCTACATAGGATAGTGAGAACAGCTGAGAAGATCATTGGGGTCTCTCTTCCCTCTATCAAAGACATTTATGTAAAACATTGTATTCGCAAAGCAATCAGCATTGTGGATGACCCCACCCACCCCTCACCTAAACTTTTTATCCTCCTGCCGTCTGGCAAGAGGTACCGAAGCATTCGGGCCCACACAACCAGACTGTGTAACAGCTTCTTTCCCCAAGCCATTAGACTCCTAAATACTCAAAAACTGGTATGACACACACACGTGTTCCGAGTTGCAAACTGTCACTTTTTAACTGTCTGTTACCTCAGTAACTGCTATGTGTATAGAACACTATCCCATAGTATCTTGTTTACATTTGTAATATTTGTTTGCACTACTCTGTATTGGGCGGCACTGCACTGTCTCAGTGTCACTTCTGTTGTGTCCACTGTTTAAAAATGTGTTGTACTGTCCCATACTCTGCACACGTCTCTGCACGTGCACTTTATATAGGAATTTTTATTTTACATATTTTATATAATATTTATTTTTTATCTAGTCCTATATGTTCTTATGTAGCACCATGGCTCCGGAGGAACGTTGTCTCGTTCCACTGTGTACTGTACCGTATGGTTGAAATGACAAATAAAACACTTTGACTTTGACTTTGATTCCATTCTTTCACTCACCCTTTTACCCATGTATGCATATGTTTAGATTAGTTATGTTTGTGATTTTAGTTAATAAAACTTGTGCACAATACGTATTTGGTTATTATTCTCTGCTTGCAACTAAGTTTACTTTACGATTTAGATTTTGACTACAGGCTCTTATTACTGTACAGTAAGAAAGACATTTCCCTTCCTCGGAAATTAATATTTCTTAGAATTTATAAACAATTAACGCTGAGTGTCCACGGGACTAACAGGTGGGTTGATTTGTAATATTAATTTTACTACATTAAGTTAATTAGATTATATTATATAATTATATTATAACCAGTTATTGTTGATTATTAATATTTCAGTAGAGTTAATTCGCTACACAGGCCTTCTGAACTGTCTGATCCGCCCTGGCCTCCTGAACTGTCAGATCCGCCCTGGTCTCCTGAACTGCCGGTGCCATCTACGCTCCATGGCCCAGGCCAGCCATTGCCATGTCCTGGTCCCGATCCCCGGCACGGGCCTGCCCCTCCATCCCTTCCCCCAAGACCGTCTTTGTCTAGTATTGAATGTTTATCCAGGTTCTTGTTCTTAGTTCCATGCCATTTGTGAGGCAGAGGCCAGATGTGTCAAGTACATCAACATGGTGCTGCTGGTGATCATATTCAGCGCGCAGCTAAAACGGCAATGCATGACTAATAAGGACTATGATTGAGACTGTCATATCATATTACATAACATTATGAAGAGAACAATACATTGTGAATTATTTGGGTTTAGTTGCCCTGTTTCATCTTGTTGCTCCAGGAAGAGCGCGTCCACAACATGAGTCATTCTGTATGGCTTGTATCTTCAAGTTCAAGTTCACTTGTGCATTCGCATCATTTTGTGCAGATATAATTTGCAGTATTATGTTTATTTTGTATCTGATTAATCTCATATAGGATGCATTTCTTTGAGTTAAATAACGCGCTAGCAAAGTGCTCCAGTGTTCCTTCAGCGCGCACCTCAAGTAGCAATGCACGGCTTATAATAACTATGATTGGGACTGTCACATAACATGAGAACACTATTTTACAACAGTTTAATAATATTTGAACTATCGCGTTTTTAGCGCGTTGTTCCAGGAAGAGCGTACACATTCTGACCAGCACGCATCTGAGACGGAGTTGGTGACACGTTTAAGTTGTTATATTTTCTAAGTAATTTAATTAAATGATCAATCACATTGAGACATTTTACAATCCTACTAGCCCTTTATTTAGATTAAAACCCTTCTCATTCATTTGGTGAGGAACATAGCGTTTTGAGCAGCATTTGCATACCCTGTCGTGCTGTTGGTCATATGCCACTGCAGCAGACGCATATTGCAGTATTAACGCTAACGATTAATCGATCGTTAATTTAAACGACGATCGATAATGGGAATTTGTGAAAATTGACATCCCTAATCTAAACTTTACTTCCTTTTTCAGGCCTAACATTCTAACACTATCCCAGTTACATTTAGGATTGATTTTAAAGTATTATTACTGGTATATAAATCATTCAATGGGCTAGGACCTCAATATATTGCAGATGCTCACTGAATATAAACCTAACAGATCATTCAGATCATTAGGATCACATCAGCTAGAAATACCAAGGGTTCACTCTAAGCATGGTGAGTCTGCTTTTAGCTATTATGCCAGCCGCAGCTGGAACCAGCTTCCAGAGGAGATCAGATGTGCTCCTACAGTAGTCACATTCAAATCCAGACTCAAAACACATCTGTTTAGCTGTGCATTTACTGAATGAGCACTGTGCCAATGTTCGTCCGTTTGTACTTTATTTTTTATTCTAAACTGTTTTAATTATTCTTATTTATTTTGATTATTTTAATTTTCTCTATGTAAAGTACTTTTGAATTACCATTGTGTATGAAATGTGCTATATAAATAAACTTGCCTTGGTGAGAATTGAGCATAACAACATAACACATAAAACATGTAACTGAAAATTAGTAAATTAAGAGTCGAACAAACAAAATTCATCACTTTGTGTGTTAATCCCCTATCAATGTGTGTTTTATGTTTTACTCCTCAGGTTACAGTACATGACTAAAAATACTATTAAAGGCAACAGAAACCAAACCTGCAAACTCACTTTCTGACACTGAAATCGACCATTCACGTGATTAGTTCAGATCTGAGGAGTTTTTATTTAAATGTATATCTGAAGGGAAATGACTGTCTTCATAAAAGTTTCAATGGCATCTTCTTTTATTTTTCCTCAGTATGTCTAATAAAGTACTGTTTCTAAGCGCAGCGCTGCTTCCCAGACAGCAAGCCAACATTGAATAAACATTGTTTTTCCATCTGAATCATCATTATGGTTGATGTTGAAATTTCAATGCAAAATAAATGTTGAATCACCATTACCATATCGATGAAAACCTGATGTTATTAATGTTGATGGCAACAATATTGGAACAACATTGATCTATAGTTATCTTTATGATTGATTAAGCATTGATATTTGGTTTACCGGGCGATCGCGTAATTGTGTTGAAAAGTCATTGATTTATAGTTGAACTATGAAATGAACTAAATTTATAGTTTATGGAATTACATTTAAAATTAACATTTAAAAACGATTGAAATTCCATTGAAATCACGTTGATCCTTAGTTCAGTTGAAATTTCAACATTGTTTCAATATTCCTGATAATTGAAATACCATTGAAATTCCGTTGATCTATGGACAGGATTTCAATGTTGTTTCAATATTAAAACAGGGTGCAAAATGATGTAGAATCAACATCAGAGTTCGATGTTGATTCAATGACTTAATGTTGACAACGGAATGTTGATTCAACATTGTTTCAATGACTATTTGCTATCTGGGTTGTGTTCAGGAGTAACCGCTGTATTTCTGCCTTTCCACAAGCGCCACCTTCTGTCAGAGAGTGAATTTGCATTTTCATTCAGCATGGCTGCTGTTTTTGTTCATATACCATTACATACATAATCATTTATAAGGCTCAAATATGAGGTTCATCATTTTCTAAAAGCGTTTGTTTTGTCGAAACTGGTGGTAAAGTTGTTTAAATCGTATTTTATCTGCATTTTACAGTTTACACCTAAACAACATTTTCTGTTTCAATATCACAATTTTCTGAAATAATTTGCATTTTTATGAGAATAATACAGACAATAAGTACAGACAACAGTGCGACCGTTGCATACATCAACCATCAAGCTGGTCCCTGCAAATCCCTTTAAGCCAACGAGCTCTCACGACAGCCTGTGGCACCCGGGAGAGTGGAAACTCCATAAGCTTTCCAGCTGAGATGGTACCCCGCACAGGTAGACCTGTTCCCTGTCCGCACTCTTCCCATTGCTGTGTAACGGCCCTTAGAGCAGTTACTATGGTTTCAAGTTGTAGTACCACTACCATGCTCCAGGGGGCTCTCCAGACTACTACTCCTCTGGATAAAAGGCAGGGAGAAGTAGAGTTGGAGCATTTTTGGTTGGAGAGAAGCATGGCCTCCTCTTGTTCTAACCTTATGCGTAGAGTCCGGGTTGAGAAACTGTTGTTTTAAGCTCATCCAAGTAAGTGTTTTGTTAATTTTGTAGTTAGTTTGTAGTAAAACTGTTGTTTTAACAGTTGTTAAAACAAATGTTGAAAATAACTGCAGTGAAAGTAATTCAGTGTAAATTCAGTTGTTCTTTTCTTTTACAAATTTTACAAAAATTAACTTAAGAAAATTTCAGAAGTTTCTTAAATTTGGTTGTTTTGACACGGATGACCATATAGATTTGTTTTATATTATGATAATATACAACCTTGTCAAAACATTATTTTTTAACAGGAAATATACTTAACTATGTAGTAATTAAATTAGTATACATTCAGTAACTTTCAGATTCCAGATCTGGTCCTGTGGGCGTCAGTATCACACAGTGATCACAGTTCACATCTGCAGTGAAGCCCCTCCCACAACAATTCACCAATAAATACTGGGAATATTCCCATCATCCTACAAGAGAAGCACAAACTCCAGGAGTAGCAGCTGAAATCTGTGTGACTGTTAAAGATGGAGTTTATTAAAGAGGAGATTGAAGACATGACTGATCCAGAACCATCCAGAATAAAACATGAAGATACTGAGGAACAAATAGGTTGGTGTCCATTCTTGATTCTTTATTGTTGACTGCTTTGGTGGCTGTGAAATAATAAGTAGTTTATTGATGGTAAATGATGTAGAAATTCATCTAAATTATCGTAATGTTGTATATAGCAATGTGTCAAATAAATGTTAATTATTCAAATTAATGAGAATGATATAACAAACCTTCCACATCAAAGATCTGCTACTTTATTCTCACACAGACAGAAACCTATTCTCTTGTTGTCTGCTTGTGTTCACTTGAATTTTCCTTGAAATTATCCTCAAACTGATTATGACTGAACTACTTATTATGTTCATTTTTAGATCAGATGGGAATAACAGAGCTAAGAGAAGAACTGAATGAAGTAAAGAAACACTGTGACTTCAAAACTCAAGGAACAAATGCTAAAAAGCTGCACTCCTGCTCTCAGTGTGGAAAGAGTTTCAGACAAAAAGGAGACCTTAACACACACATGAGAATTCACACTGGAGAGAAACCGTATCCATGCACTCAGTGTGGAAAGAGTTTCATATCTTCATCCAAACTCAAAATTCATCTGCATATTCACTCTGGAGAAAAACCATTTAACTGTGATCAGTGTGGTAAAGGGTTTATTTCATCATCACATTTAAAAAAACACATGAAAGTTCATTCAGATGAGAAGCCTTATGTGTGTTCTCTCTGTGGAAAGAGTTTTTCAAGACTTAACAGTTTTAAACGACACCAGAAAACACACGATGAAGTGAGAGATCATGTGTGTTGTGACTGTGGGAAGAGCTTTACTACAACTGGTGAACTGAAACTGCACCAAAGAATTCATACTGGAGAAAAACCTTACAAGTGCTCATACTGTGACAAGAGTTTCACTCAGTCTGGAAACCTGAAAGTACATGAGCAACTTCATACTGCAGAGAAGCCATACCACTGCACTCAATGTGGAAAAGGTTTTACTTTACCATCATATCTCAAAAAACACCTAACTTTTCATACAGGTGCTAAGCCTCACTTGTGTTCTCTCTGTGGAAAGAGTTTCAGAGAAAAAGGAGACCTTAACAAACACATAAGAATTCACACTGGAGAAAAACCGTATCCATGCACTCAGTGTGGAAAGTGTTTCACATCTTCATCCTTACTCAAGTATCATCTGCATATTCACTCTGGAGAAAAACAATTTAACTGCACTGAAAAAAAAATTTCATTGGATTTACTCAATTGAATTATGGACACTGGTTCCACATAATTTGTTTGGGTTCACAGTATCCTACACATTCACATCGTTTCTGTACAATAGTTTTGTGTTAATCACATGTATTTTATTTAAGTAATGTGTACATGCTCTGTTTAAGTTAACCTTACATAATTCAGTCATGTTAGCTGAATATTATTCTTTTATTTTAGATACATGCCTGGATCATGTTAATTCTACAAAATCTAATCAAGTTATCTTTACATAATTTTTTTGTTACATTTTTAATGGTTTATGTTGTTACTTAAATGTGTTTTTGTACTAAACAATAAAAAAGCATTCATTTAAACCATTTATTTCATTTATTGAACATTCATTCATTCACTTCAATTCAAAATTATGCATGTAAAAACGTACAAAAAGTACTGAATGATGTATGCAGTGATGGTCTTTATTTTCTAGCTAGACATATAATCTCATTTATGAAGACCATCAGATTCATATCATAGATAGATAAGATTGTAAGCAATATAACATCTCGTATTACTGTGAAAACTGAATTTTGCACAATTCAAAGAGAAATTAGTTATCTCCGAAACATTTAATGTGCAGACCTAAAAAGGGTCAGTCCAGCACTGAATTGTTTTTTATGACATCTTGAAATGACAATGAAATAACATCTCTTTGGTGATTAAATATCAACAAGACTTAAACTACCGGTAAAATGTAAAAACCCGTACTGTTCTATGCAATACGCACACATGCCCAATTATAAATGGAAGCAAACGTAACAAGCTCCAGTTCTCATGAGCATTACCTCCTATTGTATTTCTGCTTGAGAGATGTTGAGGCAAAACATGTGGCTTATTAGTCTTATCAGTCCACTTGTATGGGAAATCTAAAATTGATTTGTTGATTTCATTCAAAGTAATGTACTTTTTTGATATTATCAATGTGAGACACTTTGCAAGCTCAACAGGTACAATACCCTCAAAAATATCATGAGCAATGTCTGGAGGGTATCCAGTTAGAACATCAAAATGTGAAAGAGCTTTAGTAAGAGGGCAAGCTTTTTTCACTCCAAAACAACTAGTACTATTATCTTCAGCTGACCTCACGTGAGCAATGTGGAGATCTTTTGTTCTGAGGCTGAAAGCACCTGTTCTTACCTCTTTTGACTGAATGTCTAGTTTGCTTGCAGTACAAAATCGACAACTATAATGCCCTGAAAAACTTTCATTAAAGCCTGCTAAAGCATGAGCTCCTAAATTGTCAGCAGCAACAGTGATAACTGTACCCTTCAGTGATTTTCCTAGCTGTGGTATAAAAATTCCATTTTCTTCCAAGGATTTGAGGTCTTTTAGGAGTGGTTCTAACACTGTGTTATAGCCATATGTTTTGACATCATCAGTTTTACATAGTAGGGCCAAGTATATGGAGGACAATGATGAATTGGACCCAGGAGGTAGGTTACTCAGCACCCAATAGACTGCACAAAGCTTGTGTTTTTTGCGGGATGTCCCCAGGGGGTTGCAGAGCTCAAAATCATCAATATATAAACCCACAAACAGTCTTAAGTCCTGTCCTGAGAAGAAGCTATTTTGCTTAAAATGAAGACCATCTCTAAAAGACCGATACAGACCTTCCGCCTCAGTTTCTTGTGTTTTCAGATCCTGTGATATGTTGTCTAAAATATCTTTCCTATTCAAAATCACTTTTAGAGAATCAAGAATAGGAATGTACTGAAAAGTCTTCTTGTTTTTAGCATCCAAGATACATTCAACTGGATCAACTACATTAAAGTTAGCCTTATAATACTGCCTACGCTGATAAGCAGAACTAAGGGAGCCACCTTTTTGTATAGCTTTGTGTATAGGGTTAACTGTGCACAGTGTAGTAGCTATTTCTTTCAGTACAGATTTCTCAACTTGAAGATTATGCTTCTGAAAAGCATCACAAAGAACATCTGTATTAAGAGGAATTGATAATGTGCTATTTAGGTTGTAAAGCTCTTGTAGAAATTCATCAATTTGTGAACTTGGTACATGGGACAAATGTTCAAGCTTTAACAACGCTGCTGCAAAATTGTGTTTGATAATATTTGGTAGGTCCTTTGTGGAACAGACATCAGAAGCAGATTCTATATCATGACATGCCTCTACCTCATCATCCTCTTCAACATCTGATTCCTGTGAAACTACTGTGGTAGTAGTTACTATCCCAGGTTTAAAATCTTTAAGTGAAAAAGAATTATGTTTTCTGTTTTTATGAGATTTAAACGTACCACAGATGTTTGTTTTAAAGTTACAATGTGAAAACATGCACGTTATCAATTCATTTTTTTTCAAATGTGCATTAATATGAGCCCAATAATCTTTCTCGGAGTACAGATCTCCACAATTACATATATGGCAATTAAATATGCTATTTTTAGACTGTCTCTGCCTAGTTTGAGTCACATGGAATCTATTCAAATGAATCTTAAGAGCATTCCACGTTCTAAACGAGCATGGGCAGTTTAAATATACACATGGAAAACAACTATTACGTCCAAAATGTCTATGTTTCAGCCTATAATGCTGCAATAGTTTCAACCTACTTGTTACAACTACTGAACAGGCCTTGCAAGTCCACATGTACAGCAAATGTTACTGAAAAGAGAAAAAGAGCAACAATTAGTCATAAATAAAAACAATAAAATTATAATCACAAGATATGACAAAAAATATATTTAACTAGGTGAGTGTATAATTCAGCAATTCTTGAAAAAATCTTTGGACAGTAATTTTATAAAATCTTCACATGTTAATAATAAAATACAAATTACTATATATTTTTGAAATACATTCATTAAAAACAATTTAAGTTATATTGCATTTTGCAATTTGCCCATGGAGTCACAGTGCGCATTGAAATGTATGGAAAAAAAACACATCCTAGTGTATATCTATCCAACAGTTTATAGATCATTATTACATTTAAATATTACATTTAAATTAAATTACAGTTGTTCTGCGTATGATGCCAATTAATGTAGTGTGATGGACTGAAAGTCTGAACGAGGCCTTAGAGACACCAGTAACGTAACGTTAGCGGTGACGTCATCGTTTAGACACCACAAGTCATTACACTTCAGCAAGACGAAGTAATTTTATGCAGATCCACAGCCCTTTAAATGCAGATCAAGCATTATAATGGGATTATATCATATCAGAGAGAGTTTTACCCGGTTTTACCGTGCCGACTGTCGTAACCGTATGAGGCACGCTGGAATGCTGCAGCTGAACGGAGAATGATTGACATCCTCAGCAGACGGAAGACAAGTTTCCGTGAACTTTAATTTTAGGATGTTAATATTCTTCTGTCCCTCACATTAATCTATAGAATGGCTTTAGATAACTTTGAATACAGTGGGACGAAATTTGATGGAGTCGGTCAGGCGGAAAACCTCGTAGTTTTCAAACCCTGACCAAGCGGCTAATGTTACAACACTCGACGAAATAAACAGTCGACATGATTTAAAACGTGTGGGATTATCTTAAAAAAAACTATTTATTGTATTTAAAGTTAGATGGACAGAAATCTTTAGAAAATAATATTAAATTTGTAATGATATTCTTACCTCTAGTCAATCCCCTCAGATGTCCTTCTCCAGACCAACGGTCCTCGTGCATATAGCGCGTGGGCGGTCGCTCTCGTCCAAATACTCCCGCGCAGTGCGCGCACACGAACATTTAAAAATAAATAAAAATCTAAAAAAAGACAGACCAAAAAAAAAAATGTGCGGCCATTTTTTCCTTCTTCCTTTGTTCAATAAAGGCCT